AGTTATGTTTTTAAAAGAAAAAACTACTATTGTTATAAATAACACATTCAATTGTACTAAACTATGCTTGCCTATTTAAATATATTCGGTGTATAGGACACAAGCAGATTTTGACATCAAATTTTGGGGTAAAAAAGTGCGTCTTATACACCAAAAAATACGGTATGTACAATAAACTTAGCATTTTATTATTGTGTATGTTGTTAATAGTTATACAAAATGCATAATCAAAGTGGTATATTAATCATCATTTTGTGTAAACCAGTGACTCATGGAATATAAAGTACATAATGTTCTTGTTTTTTTTTTTGTGTGTGTGTGTTGTTATTGTTGTCGTCTAAACAAACATCATGTTTCAATGATGCTAATATTTCTTTGCATCTCCATTCTGGAGCACTGTGGCTTGACATGACTGTAGCATGAATCACTGTGATGACCGTTGTTACAGTTTATATTGTAAGGATCATTCTCAGAACAATTGTCTCAGACTGGTTACCACTACTTGGGAAGGCCATTCTCAGTAAAATTATGGTAAACCAGTACCCACTGTAATTGCAGGGGTTTTGTGTTCAGTAATTATCACTTTGTTTCCTGTTCTGATTGACCCTACTTGACTCATGAAATCATCTAGAAATTACTGAATCATGTATCCATAGCAAATTTGTCATTGCTATATGAGATAGCTCTTTGAATTCGTAATACAAATATATGGGTTACTGATTAAATTTCCCATTGTAATGACTTGTCTATGTGAAAAATCATATGTACTGTTGATGTCAGGACTAATGAGGGTTCACTGCATACTTACGGAGTTCTTGTCAAGCAGTTATAATTTGAGCATTGCTCTCAAATGCTGATTACCAAACTGACTGTCAAGTAGATGCCAATAATAACTGGGATCTTCATGTATTCAAGTTTGGAGTAATAATATAAAACTAAGTATGTTTCTGAGTGTACTGTGTGGTAAAAGTGCTTGGTAGCATAATAATGCTTCTGAGTATTCACTGAACTTTCACATTAAAAATATATTTGTTGTTAGTGACAAGATAACTTCAGGTGGTTGTTTTGTGTGCCACAATGAATTCTTCTTGACAGCCTTATGGATAAGAGATCATAAGGTACAGGTGTATTGGAACACATGTTTTACTTCATAGTGTATGATGTGCAATACAGGATTCATTATAGCAACAAGTCCTTTTTTACTAAGCCTGTACTTGTTTAACAGTGTGAGGAATAAATTGAATACAGTATTCTGATGGTTAATTAGAATCTTATACAAAACAAGAAGTTAATCCTAATTGTATAATGTTAAGGAACAGTAACAACATAGTAATATTCAACAAGTACAAAAATTGTAAATATGGATGTTGAGAAAGGAAAATTAAGTCAACATTTCAACCATATAAACTCTGTCAGTAAATTTCTTATCTAGAATGGGATTTTTTTTAAAAAGGTAAAATTATTGGAATGACACTTCACTAAAGCCAGACAACATCTGCTATAAAATAGTATGTTTTATTCCAGTAAGTTAGTTAGTTATTTACTATTTGCTTATTATTATTTCCAGACCTGCAAGTTTTTTTTTTTTTATCCAGGTCAACTATCTTGAGCCAAGTTCAAGCCAGTTCACCAAACAAACTACCTTCATGTAAACTTGTGCTAATTATGGGTAAGCTTCAAAAATTCATTTTTATTCTCTATTTGTTATGAAGAAGCAAGTACCAAAATAATCTTTCAGTTTATAATTGTGTCACAATTAATATTTATGGTTTAGAAAATTTAATACTGGCTTAAGTTAATTTGAGTAAATCATACTCCCCCCCCCCCCCATTTTTAATTATCTGTCAAATTTATCATGGTATCATGTATTATGATAAGCTAAAAAAAGAGAAATGAAAAAAACATGGAAAGGGTTAAACAGACAATGGTGAACTCAGAGATTTATCAGATTATCTCACTCTGTAGGGATAAATCAAAGTGTACATATCCTGAACGTTTATAGAGTTACATTCATGATATGTACATTTATTGTCATGATATGTATATGAATAAACTTGATGTCACGTTATTGAAACCAATCTTAATATTATGTACGTTTGCTCTCTAGGTCTTCCTTCTTCTCTAATTTATTTACTACTCTAGGAGAAGTACAGAATTTAACTTAGATATTACGAAGACAAAGTATAGTTTATATAGTTTTCAATTGTATTTTTTCTGGAGCCATAAGCAAGAAAACCAGATCCATTTGCCATGCCCGCCTACCACATCCCCTCTTTCACAAATTGCCAATAGTTCTCTCTGACATTTTATATTATTTATAATCAATAGAAAGCCAAAGTTTGACCTATCAAATTAATTATTATATTACATTGTTTTCTGTACAGAGCACTGTCAATTTCACTTTCAGTTTGAAACTTTTTCTCGCAGTATTCACATCCATAAGCTTAGCTGAATCTTTAAAGGCTCTTATTGCATACTTAGAAAGCCAGATAAATATATATAGTTACAGGATATTGTTTGTTTTGTGCATATTATTTTTCTGCATTCTTAAGTGCATTATTTAATTAAATAAAAATTTAGTGTATTACATTTAGTATAATGAAGTTGGCTTAAGTTCATCAACATTTGACAGCAAAAACCAGAGGACCTAAGTAAGTTTTATATTTCTGGTTTTTAGAGTGTATTATTTGTTTATTATTATAAAAGTAACTAATGTAAAAATTATAAACTTAGATTAGGTAAGATAATGGGGAAAAATAAAGGGTAATGAAATTAAGTGCAAAAGAATGTATACTGCAATGAGCTTTAAGTTATTGAGGATAAACAATTGTAGTTTCATGTTACAATTTGCAGTCATTCTAGAAAGAAAAAAGGGTAATTTAGATTTTTTCATGGTGGTTATGAGGTCAGTCAAATTGACTGAATGAGTAAAAAGTTAGAAAATAACTGTTAAAATATAAAGTTTTACAGAAAAAATTTTTAATATTTATTTATTAGGTTTTAGAGCTTACACAAATGAAAAACACTTTGCACTAGGAGCAGTTAACACTGTCTCCATATATTCACAAATAAATTTTTAGTAAAAATAATTAGAATAAAAAAATTCATATACAAAGGACTCATAATACTTACTAAAAGCTTGCCAAATTTCATGAAGATACACAAAACATGTGAAAAGTTATAGTTTGGAAATTCTGATTGTCCCTTTGAGGTCATAAACTTAAGCTCCTCGACTGAGCCCGTAGTGAGAAAATTAACCAGTTATTTTGTCATGACAGTTACTTGTACATGTGGAATGCTGTAATTATTTAAAATTAATTTTATTGCCGCATTGCTTGGATTTGTGGAAATATAGTTGAGTGTTTTTCCATTAATTATTTGATAGATATTGAAACTTGATGAATTTGTCTTTTTAAAGAATCCAGGTATTTGAGTTATTGCACTGTATTTTTCATAGTTTTAAAATTAGATAATTGTATTGTTATTCAGAAATGGTACTCACTTGTCTGCAGAAGAAAGAGCTATTACCCCACACATCTGTCACAATGTTTTTTTTTCATATGCTACATATGAAACCTGGTTATGCCATAAAGCCTGCAAAGCATCTTTAGGTTATATCGTCATTTAATGATAAAAACCATAGTTTTTGGGTTTTCTTTGCATATAAATGCTTGATACATTAAGAACAACTGAAATAATAATTTGAGTAATAATTAATATGTATTTGTTACTTTATAGATTTAATAGATATTTGTTGTTACTTTATTAACGTTTTTATACTTATACTGTGAGGTAAAAAAGGCTGCTGCTATTATTTTGTCTGGTTTGTGAGCTCATTGCTGTCCTAATTTAGGATCTTCTTTTTAATAAATTCTTGAAAATGTTAAAAGAGAGAGTTCGTGCTGGCTCTCAAAGTTCCTGCCTTCATGAGAAGGATACATTTTCCACCAAATTATGACCTTTAGGCTACCCCCTCCCCACCTAGTTGGTGTTATGTTCCATGGGTTTTCTTTTTCTGATCTTATAATTTCAGATAAGAGGCCATCATTTTTATTTTCTATCTATCTATCTACACTGGGCCCTTAACCTTATTATCATTGTGGGATTCTAGATCTTTGTTCTGCAGAGAGGTGAGAACAATTTCTATAGTTAAATTTTTCCTTACCTGAAAATGTATTTTAATAGATACTCACCTCTGCAGAACCACCTGCCCTTCCTCCCCACTTCCAGTGTGTTTCTTTTGCCTAATCAAGAATAAACCTTTGTTGAAATGCTAGTGTTCATGTAGTTTAATGTGCATGGAGAATGTGTCACTTTCCTGTTGTTGGAGGACTATAGTCTAATAATTATTACATCGTAGGTTGGCACAGTCCATGTTAATAAGTGTAAGGGTGGGAGTTCCATTCAATGCTTGTCGCATGTGCAAAAGCTTTGACATTTACACGAGGTAATAGCTCTTTCTTATGCAGGTAACTGATTATCTATATGAAATACATTTTCAAGAGAGGAAAACATTAACTCTTTAAGCACTATCTTGAAAGATAAGCAAATAGAGCTGAGTGATTAACTTGACTAATCAACATAATTGATAACCTGATCGCTGTGTGTCATGTAAAATAATTAGATAATCAAAATTACATTTAAGTTGATTAACGTCACTAAACTAATGATTAATCATTTAGTAAATTCCACTAATTGTCCAGTTCTAGAAGAAAACAAAAGTTTTTGAGAAATATACTACATTTCATTTGTTTTTCGTTGGCTATGTCACTCGCCAAACAATCAGAAATGATATTGAAATGACCTTACATCAGTAGAAGATAAATAGTCTTTCTATGTCATAATTTTGTTCTTATTTTTGGTTTGTCAAGTTTTATAAATATCTGCAAATTAATGTTTTATACATTTGTCTTAATTCCCCTTCTAAATCAGAATAGGTCCTTTAAGCTTGCAATATATATGCTTTACACAGAAATGTTACTTACATCATGATGTTCATTTCCTGTGCCCTATTATGTGGATACATTCTTTTGTTTTGGATACAGGAGATGATGAGTCTGGAAAGACTTCTCTTACTGCTAAATTACAAGGAAATGAAGATCCCAAGAAAGGCTCTGGACTCGAATACCATTATATTCTTGTCAGAGATGAATACCGAGATGGTTAGTTGTTTAGCAAGAATTTAATTTTTTATTCTTTGTCATTGTTTGGACTTGGTTGTTTTCCAAGATGCATAGATTGTAAGCACATAATTTTGAATATTTTAATTCCAATAATATTTTATTTTTAATAGAAAGAGTACAGTTATGTAATATTTCAAATAGAAAATTAGCTTTTGCAAAAACAAAATCACTTACGAATTAAACAAAATTCAAATAATTTAATCTTGGGTTTTCATAAATTCCTTGCGTTTTCAATCCATATTCTTTCATCCTTTTTTTATACCAAAACTTGTCCTTTGTTTGATGATCTTATAAAAAAAAATAAAAACAAAGGTGAATAAAGTACATATCTTACATGGTCTTAAAGATTTTTCAAGATTTATCCAGTAACAATTTTTTTCATTTGATATCTGAAACATCTCAGGAATTATTATTGGTACTATTTTTTATTATGATTATTATTTTTTAATACAAATTTTGTATGAATTTATTAAGTAAGAGATGTCTTAAATCTTAACAAATTGTTCACCAAATCTCAAAAAAGTGGTTTGTAGAGTCAACACATTTCTTATGATTACATGTTGCATACTATAAAATAAAGTTTACTTTTGAACATATATTGAAAATACCTTTCAGATCAAACAAGACTCGGGGTTTGGGTTCTTGACGGAGATTCATGGCACAGAAATCTCCTTAAGTATGTAGTGAATGAGGAGTCCTTCCCCCACACCACAATTCTTCTGACAGTATCCATGACTCAGCCATGGAATATACTAGAGTCTTTGGAGAACTGGACAGCTATCTTAGAAGAAAACCTCAACAGACTGAAGCTTGACCCTGACATTTTGGAACAACAAAAGCAGAGAAGTAAGCTCAAACTTCTGTTCTTTTAGTCCAGTTTGATGACAAATACTTGGAAATGACTTTAGGTTAGTAAGAAATTATCTCTTCATTGCTGTATTGTGTTACAACCACTACAGAAAACCAGACAACAAGAAAATGCAGATTAACCCTTTTGAGACAGGTCACAGGTGAAAGGCCATGCCATATTGTTTGTTGACTCGCATTCAAAATTTTATTGAACTACTATTTCATGACTTATATCAATAAGTTTGGTATCAAACTTTAGATTATAATTCAAATTTTAAAACTGTACATTACTCAATTTGTTAATTTAAAAGTAAATATTAAAAAAATGCAGATAAACATAGATTTTTGTGTGTCACGTTGTATATTGAATGCAGCACTGGTTCAAATTAGATGTTTGTGAAGTCAAAATACTAACTATAGTTTCATACAAATTAGAAACTCAAATTACAGACACTGACAAACTAGAATATAAAACAAGAGGGTGTTGTCTTTTCTATTTGCTAAGATATTGCTCATCTTTGGAAATGTTCCCTTATATACACTTACTTCTGTATATGACATGAATAACCATTTGGAAGCTCAGAATGTCTCCCTAGTGGTTTTTCTCAGTCTTTCTAATGTACTTAACACCTATTCTTTCTTTTTAACCAAGATTTCAATGAGGTAGGTTGCATGTTTAGTCTGCTTGAAATTTTATTTTTTTTAGACCCCAAAACAGCTTAGTTACTAAGTTTGA